CGCCATTTTGGACACTTTCGTCGTAATTGCTGTGGATATATATGGTTGGAAGCGAAGGAAAAATGCAGGGAAAATGATTAAATAAAAGCAGCTAAAGAAACAGGGAAAAAGAAAATTTCTTACTCACGGCCGGATATGTTTGACTGTTCAGTTCAAAAAAATAGCCCTTGCGTTCTTCCGATTAATAAAATATATTATGGAGTAAAATCATCAAAAGACCATCAGTCCGTGTCCATGTCGCTCGTTCTTATTATATGACTGTATGACAAGGCCAACGAGAGTGGAGTATATTAATCACTCATAGATACTATATTTTGTTAATTGCTAACCCTGTAATAATGGATGGCGTCAAAAGTGGGGAGGACCAACCAAAACCTGGACTGACACAGTTAGTGAAAGATTTTAAACATGCAATATACGGAATTAGGCGATGGTAGAAGGAATGGATCCAGATAACATCGGGTTGGACCTTGTAGACAGCGGAGTCAGCCTAAATGTAATGGTGAAAAAACTACTGCTAGAAAAAGAAAATTTTTAATTTGTTCTTCCATCAATTCATTTAATATTTGTTTTAAGTAAATTTGCAAGAAGAATGAAGGATTTTCAAATTTCAATTCATCGACATTCCAACAGTAAAAAATGGAGAATAAAGGGAATATTCGAAAATTTTTCATATATTTTCATCTTATTTGCAATTATTTGCAATAAAATTGTCGCTTATATTCCACTTTTTCCTTATAATTAAACCATAATTCATAAATTCATTTTTCAGTTGAATTTTGCAGCTGAATGAACAATTATTTCCATCGAAAATTAAAGGTAAAAGTAGAATAAGTGGAATGGGGAAATGAATCGGAAAGACGAATTTCAAAAAAGACTGGCACGGTTCAAATCCGACCTATCCAACCTTTTTTTCCAAATCTCAGACATGTTTTAATACATTTGTAAAAACATAAATATACTTGTGGAAATAATTTATTTATTTTGGAAATTTCATTATTATTATTATTTTATTATTATTGGTTTTTTTGCATTCTAGATAAAAACTTTTATTCTAATACATTAACATCGAATGAACAAAACTGCTTTCGTTGAACTGCTTATTGCTCTTCTCTTGTATGATTGTATTTATGACTTGGCTTCAATAAAATTGGCTAATTGTTAATATATTAGCCAGATTAGCACGATTCGAATTCGTACCATAACGAGAGAAAGAAGAAGAAGATATGAGGGAAGGAGACTGATGGCTGAATTTTAAGTTATGTGCAGTTGGCCATTCACGTCTAAGAATTCTAAGAATTCGCCGAGTGGGTAAAGTCTCACGTAATCGCATCCACCTTCTTTCAAATGCCTCTTGCATTAACACTCATCACAAAGCATCGCCTTTGCTGGTTAGCACATTCTTTTCGCACCACAACAGTTGACATATATTTCGTTGCTTGCTAAATTCCGTCCTGTAATGGATGGCGTCAAAAGCGAGGATGACAGAAATAAGTTTTTCCATCACAATGCACAATAAACAAGTATTAAAACCAGTGCAAAAAAAAAGAATATGTCTAATCATTTTTTCTTCTATTATATCTGACTTCTTATTATCTAAATGCGAATAACTAATCCTGTAACCGCAATATGGGCAATTTAATTCCACTTTCTGAAAAAAAAATTGAAGGAAGTACATAAGTTAAAAAGATCGTTTCTCTATACAACAAAAGACCTATAAATTTATTTCAATCGAAACCTGGACTGATACAATCAGGAAAGATTTCAATCGTATAGGATCGGCGATATATGGACTAAGAAGATGGAAAAGGAATGGCTTTTGTTACTGCTTCTGTCACTCAGCGATGGCCTCGGAGCAAAGAGCTTGGACATCATGGAGCTTGTGGCCAGCGGAGCTGACGGAAAAAGGAATGGCTTCTTTTACTGTCGACGATGGCATCAGACCGCACCGCTTGGAAGCTCTTACCCTTGTAGCCGTTGGAGCCAGCCTAACCACTAATGGTGAGAGTAGTGAGAAGGTTCAAAAAATTAAAAACCAAATTAAAAACCTACCGTAAATTTTATTTTAATTACAATTCATATTTTTTATTTACATCATTTCTAAGTGAATGATTATGCAGAAACGAAGACGCATCGTTAACGGTGGGCTGCGAAATGCGTTAGCACTCTACTCTTTTCCTTTGCCTCTCCCTCGTCGCTCTTCGAAGTCGGCAATGGGGAATATAACCATCAGCCAGGAATATGGCCAAGAGGCCACGTCCTGCGATCGCACGCATTTCGTACTGACGCTATTAAGCAACCATCAAATGTCGTTTAAACGATTTAATTAGATTTATTATAGATCTATCAAGTAACTGAAAGCGAAATTTAAAAATCGAAGAAAAGCCGGAAAAGTAATTAGCCACGCCTCTTTGCGAACATATATCTGCACCAATGAAAATGTATAGCTGTGAGAATCCAGCAAGAGTTTTCTCGTTTAGTTTTTGAAGTCGTGTAAGGAGAGGATTCGTGCGGCTATTCGTTTGTTTGCTGTTTTTTATATTTTCAACGGTTCCTACATCGATGGTTCTCGTGAAGGAAGCAAACGAGGTGATTGCTCCGGGGAAGGAGGAGAAGCTAATTTCTTTATTGCCTTCTGAGGTTTACAGTATTTTCCGAGAAAAATTTGGGTTTAAAACGTTCACGCCGGTTCAGGTTTGTTGGCCTATTTCGTTGTTTATTGTTTTGGGAATTTTTTAATTGATCTATTCGGGACAAACAGACGGCCAAATAGAATGCCGACTTACGGCTTCCATCGAATGATTTGAGACGTTTTTAAGAGTAAAATGCAGGCGGCGTGGGCCAACCCCTGTGCCTTAGTGAACCAACTCGCATTTGCGATGCTCAGTGAAAAAAGAAATGTCGAGTGCCATTAGTGGGAAAAGGGAGATTGTCTGAGCACTAGTAAGCAGTGAGCAGTGGTTTCTTCAACCAGATCACTTGGATTTTTTTATTTTTCTTCTTCGAAGGCAGTGTAACCGAGCAGATCATCGTCTCAGGCGTCGAGGCAAGCTGCAAGAATAAATCTGTTCTTAAAAATTTTGATGGCGTTGGTGGCCTACTTAATTCTATTGCAAGTGGCAAAAATTCTAATAGTTGTTATTAAGTTTGAAGTAGTGGAAGACGAAAAATCGTAGTAACAGCCAGTTTGATTGAATCTAACGAAAAATGATGAGCACTGTCCACCAATTAGTTCTTAGTTTTACTTCTTCTAAGCCGATTTTTGTCTAATTTTGTTGTGTTTATTTTTTCGCACCACTTTTTTATTAAATATTTAATATTATCTTCTTAAATATACTTTATATTTTATATGAAACATCTTTCTCGGGATTGAAATATTAGCTAAAGCATAATCTTATCATCGCAAACATTATTCGTATTTATTTGAATAATTGAGAACGCAACTCAAGAACACAAAATAAAATTGATTTTTTGGGAGGTTTTTTGTTGGAATTTAAATGATTTCGTTTCATTTTGTGCCATTTTGGTATTCATTTTCTTATATCACATACTTTTACATCGATTTTCATTTTTAGCATTAATGGGATCAGTTGAACTAGGGAACTTTCCGGTTGTCCGTCATCACATGTAAGGAGAAAATCCTTCTTCTAACAGCTCTCACCATTACCGGTTAGGCTGGCTCCAACGGCTACAAGGGTAAGAGCTTCCAAGCGGTGCGGTCTGATGCCATCGACGGTAAAAGAAGCCATTCCTTTTTCCGTCGTCTAAGTCCATACATTGCTGGTCCACCTATACGTTCAAAATCTTTATTGATCGTATCAGCCCAGGTCTTGATTGGACCTCGCTTTTGACGTCAACCATCACACGGTTTAGCAATTTAGAAGTAACGAAATAAGCGACAATTTTGATGGAGTGGTCGACGGAAAACGTGTCTTAACCACCGAAGGCGACGCTGTGTGATAACATTATACAGGTGGTGTTTGATGTTGCTAGACTCCGCTCGACGGACCCGTATACGTTAAACAAGAGTGGTCAAAGATAGATAGCTTCTTAATATTCTCCACTCTCATTGGCCATGTCTCAGAANATCGAACGAATCGCGGTTATATAGATGCGGACTTTTGTTTTAGTGGTAATTTCACGATGGCTCCATAAAGATTTCCTCAATCGGAAGAATGCATTTCTAGCTGCCGTGATCTGGGCTGTAATGTCGTCTTTTGCATGTGGTATTAGAGTGGACCCAAGATATTTAAAATCGGGCACTTCCTCGGCAGTGAATTTATAAAAAGTGTAAAATGCATTTCGTCATAATTGTCAGCAAAGAAGAATACTTCATCAGTGTATTCAAGATCCAAGCGGTGTCCATTATCCAGTCTATCGCATAGTTGAATATTGTAGGGGAAAGGATGCAGTCTTGAGGGACACCAGTTCTTACTTCGAAGGAGTTTGTCAGTTCTCCATATACATAGATCTGCGCCGACTTATGCCCATAAAATGCCTTTATGAGTCGAATGATCTTCTCTATAACACCGTCGCGTTCCATTATTTTATAAAGCGCCTTTCTATCAATTGAATCAAAGGAAGCCCGCAAAGTCGATGAAACGTGATAGTGGGTCGTAAATATCTGAAGCGATATCGGGAGCAGAATTACTTTGCTTCAATCATCTGGTAATATTTCCCATACCAGAGAGTAAATTTGTAGGTGTGTTATGAAGGACGATGGACAATATTTAAAGAGTTCAGCCCGAAGACCATCTTCTCTTGGAGTCTTATTGGTCTTAAGCTTATGGATGACAAATATTATTTCTTATTCTGTCGGGCTCGTGGTTGCAAGCATATGGTTCAGCGAATACATTAATTATATCAGGGGCAACAGATGGCGCTTCATGGTTAAGTTTAGCCTCAAAGGATATTCTTTCCATCTTATGAGGCGGTCCTTAATATTTTGACTGGCACACCACTGCTATTCTTTACTCTTACCGTTTCGAAGAAAACAAATAATGGTGAGCTTTGGATTTTTTAATAAAGACGATTTATGCAGTTTAAATGAAATACTATTGGCACTACCAAAACAAAGACGTACCGGTTTGTTTTCTGCCACCCAAGCTAAACAACTGGAGGAACTTCTCAAATTTGGGTTAAGGTTTGTTTTTTATTTATTCTAAAATATTTTTTGCAGTTTAGAATAGATTTACACAGGAATAGAAAAGTTGAAAAAAAAAGTTAAAGCTTTTGCAGCTCTTTTGAATATTTGCAATATGAAATCATATAAAAGTCTTTCTTTCTTTTAGTTATTTTGAGCTTTACAGAGATGCGGTGCAAATAACTATTACTGATTCTCAGGAAAATGAAGTAGTTTTTGAGGTCACACCATCCTGTTTACAGAATTACTATGCCGTAGGCTTTTATTCTTTTCTTACTTCTCTTCTTTTATTTTTACAAAACAATTTAAATAATAAGTTGGAAACGTATTTTCATTTTATTTTTTATTTTAATGTCTTTTAAAAAATCATTTTTGTTATTAATCATAATACATAATAATAATAAATAACAATAAATTCTTTTTAAAGAATCAGTAAAAATTAAAATTCAAATTAATCAGTATCCATTAAAATGTGACCATTTACCTATAATAAATGATGTTTATAAATGATTTTTAGTAGTTTTCTTTTAAGGTGATGACTGCCGAAAAGAAACTTATGGCTTTAATCGAATTTATTCGCTCTCAAGTAGAAGCTAAAATACTCGTGTTTTTTTCGACTTGCTTCTGTGTAGCATATATGAAAACTATTCTTCCAGTGATCCTCAATAAACGGCGAATTTTCGCAATACATGGCAAGAAAAAGAAAAATCGTGAACATCAAGTTAATATGTTAAAAGTTTTGATTAATTTAATAGAAACAATACAATTTATATTTATAATCTAAAATAATAAATATAAAATAATAAATAAAATATAAAATAGTAAATAATATAATTTATATTTATGTTTATTTGTTTTAGGTGCAACTGTTTCGATCAACGCCAAAAGCAATTATGCTTTCCACTGATGTGATGTCACGTGGAATTGATATTCCAGATATAGACTGGGTTGTACAGTTTGATATACCTAAACAATCAAGGTTGTCTGATAATTTCTATTTTCTTTTTATGAATTTAATTTAATTTAATTTAATTTTTATGAATTTTACTTATCTCGTTTCGAAAAATCTCTTTTTCAAAACTGTTCTTATAACAGATGTCACCATTAGGCTAGCTTCGCTGGCTACAAAAGTAAGCGTCTCTAGGCCGTTCGATTCGACGCTATCGTCGACAGTAATAGAAGCCATTCCTTTTTCCATCGTCTAAGTCCATATAAAGCTGGCCCACCCATAGATTCAAAATCTTTCCTGACTGTATCAGTCTAGGTTTTTATTGGCCTTCTTCGCTTTTGACGCCATCTATCACAGGGTTTAACAAGTAGCAAATTATAAATAATGGGCGACGAAGAATATGTTCTAATTAGCGAAGGCGAGACTGTGTGATGGTATTGTTAATTCAAGTGGTATTTGAGCGAAGGTGGATGCAATCATATGAGATTCTATCCGCTCGATGAATCGCGAAATGTATCTTGGACATGATTGGTCGAAGGTAGATAACTTCTTAATATACTCTCAATGGCCATGTCTTGCAGCCATACAACAAGATCGAGCGAATTGCAGCTACTCGGCCTTTCATTTTTATAGTAATTTCACTACGATTTCATAAAGATTTCATCAACCGGAAGAACATATTTCAAGCCGTTATGCGAGTAGCAATTTCATCTTTCACATGGCAGTTTGGGATTGGGATCTGAGTGGATCCGAAAGTATATTTAAAGTCTAACACTTCCTGAATCGGCAATGAATTGATAAATATAGGTATTTTATCAGCTTTTTGTGCATGAAACAGGAAGACTTTCCTTTTATTTACATTGATCCTGAGTCCGCTTCTTGCTAGGGTTGTTTAGCTTTTTTTTTGGCATTATTATACATATTGTTTAGCATTATTTCCATTTCTGCAAATAACGCAAAAAGGACTAAATCATCAGCGTATTTAACGTATTATATTCTCGACTGATTTGTACACCTCTTGAGTGCTAGCGATTGGTGTTCATTATTCAATTTATCTCTCAGTAAGTATTGTGGGGGGTACAATGGTTCAGTGGGGTTAATTTGACGCTGAAGTTCTATTCCCTGCAGGAGTGTCCAAAAATCCGGGTGATGCTGGCGATTTCCCTGAACTTCTATCACCAAAGGATTCCTGGAATTATTTGTCCAATTTGAAAAGCGGAGCGAGTTTAACCAGACAATGACAAGAGGACTCTTGAAAAACAACAGTGAATATTCTAACTGGAAAGAACCTTGGCGCACACCAATTTCTATTTCGAAAAAGTCGGTGTCAGTTTCCCATATACAGAGACCTATGTCTATTTATTCTGGTGAAATGCCTTTATGAGTCGAATGATAATTGGAATACCGTCACGTTCCATCATCCTCCAATGAGCTGTTCTATGAATTGAATCGAAAGGCAACTGTAAGTAAAATCGATAATATAAGTGATGGCGTATTGTAAATATTTAAAGCGATATTCCTTCTTAACATAAAAGACCATGCCCAGGTCTGAATCCTGTCGCCGTCCTTGAAGATGGAGGGAATTGGAGAATTGCTTTGCTTCAGTGATGTGGTATCATTTCTTTCTTCCATATACATTTGTTGAAGGTGTAAAATGAAGGACATACAACAATCAGAAGTTATATTCTCTAGTTTTATTAGCTTAAGCTTACGGATCTCTTCTGTTGGCGGCTCGCAGTTGCAAACGAATGGCTCGACAATCAGCTATGTCTGGTATAGCAGATAACGTATTATGGATAACTTTGGCTTCAAAGGATTCCTTCCATTTCACTGTTGGAGAAAGATTCGACAGAGATTGACGGTGTTCAGCATAAGAGGTCGGACAGACGAAACTTTATTCTGAAGGGACGCGGTTTTTCAGTTGTTGGTCTAATGATTTGTCGTTTGTACCCAAGAAGATTAGGAATTTCTTACATTTATTATAATATAAATTATGAACAGTAAAGTTTAATATTAAATAGTTTAATATTAAAGATTTTATATAAAAGAAAAACAAATAAGAGAAAAACGCAGTTTCTCGCACATAAACAACTCAAACAATTTAAAACAATTTTCGAAATGAGTCTATTCTGTGTGCATATATATTATTATATATTATTTATATATTATTATATATTATTATATATTATATATATATATATATATATTATTTTCATTTGCATAACATTTTAGTATGAATAGTATGCAACGCATAATTAACAGATGTGTATTGCAAAAACTATAAGTTATTTGATTATTTTATTAAATGTGAAATTTTATATTGTAAATTAGTTTTTTCGGGTATACAAAAAAAGAATTGGAATTTAAGATTGGTAAGCTAATTCACAGTATTTATTTGATAAATTTATTTTATATTTTTTTTGTGTTCACTATTTGCGATACTTGCCGGACGATCCTTAATAGTCTTATTAGTCATACCGTTACTATCCCATATAATTTCAATAACCTTTCGAGTAATGGTTATTTTATGAAAAAGATGAAATAGTCTTCTATTATTGCCCGTTGGAGCAGCAAGTAGCTATCTCTATCTTCAAGATTAATAAAGATTTCTGTGGAATCTCCCATTTAGTCTTTGGGAGTTTCTAAGCTATAAATTGCATGTATATATATATATATATATATATATATATATATATATAAAATTGCATAAATTGCATAATTTGTATAATTTGATTTAATTTAATTTACTTTAATTCTTTAATTTACTTTAAAGTTTTTAAGAATTCAATAGAGCTTAGCTCAATTTTTATCAAAAAAATGTGACGTTTCAGAAATAGCGCAAGAAAATCTTAGTTTAGCGGGACAGAAAAATGACCGTTCAAGAATTTTTTTTTTGAATTTCATTTTTTTTCGAAATTGTTTCGTAAGTTGGATTAATATTGATTAATATTATTTAATATTTGGCTAATATGGTTTGGTGAATACGGTGATAAATTAGATGTTTTTATTTTTCAATATTTTTAGTTGGTTTATACATCGATCTGGACGAAGTGGTCGTTGTGGCCGAGAGGGGAAAAGTTTGTTATTTTTGACTCCCAATCAAGATGGATATATTACATTTCTCCAAAAATATGAAAAGATTTCACTTAATGAACTGAAGATCCCAAATTTAACAGCAGTGAAAGCAGAACAACTTCGTCAGAAAATTATCAAAATGGCATCTAAAGATCGGTTTGATTTCGAAGATTTTATCAATATAATTCATACTTTTTTTTCATTTTTGTATGTTAATCATATGTTAATCAGTTTGCAATATTTTTTTTTAAAATTCTTATTTAGGTATAATTCTTATTTAGTGATACATTGTAGACTTATATTGGAACGCGGTACTAGTGCGTTTGTTTCATTTATTGAATCGTATTTGAGGCATGATTGCAGTGTCGTTTGTCCTTTTAAAGGTATTTTCTTCGATTCCATATGATATGATTCTATATGATTCATGATGCTGTTTCATATGATTCTAAATTTATATCCTTACTAAAATTACGCAAAGAACTTGTTAATTTTAAGAAATTTATTTAACATTTTGTTTTTCACAGTTATTTTTGTACATTTCACAGTGCCATTTCAGAGCTAGATGTGGTTGGTCATGCACATTCGTACGGTCTCTTAAGATTACCAAAAATGAAGGAACTAAAAGGACTCGACCTCACTTCGTTTAAACGTTCAAATATTGATACAGCTATAATAAAATTCAAAGACAAAAATCGTGAGAAACAGCGGCAAATGAAACTCGTTGAATTGAGAAAAAATGAAAATGTTGAATCGACAGAGGTTTGCTATTTTTTCTATTTTCTGTAAAAAGAATTTTAAATAATTGTTGGTATGCAAACTCTACGATTTAATAAAGTTCCGTTTAGATAATACCAGCGATAAAGAAAATTCATAAATCTACTGATCTCTCAAACAAAAGAACACAGGAAAAAGAAAAAACAACAAAAAAAAGGAAAATGAATGAAGATGAAGATAAAATAAGTTGGGAGGAAACGGCTAACGACTTTGCACTACTTAAAAAAATTAGAAGGGGTCGTGTCAGGAAAAAGGATATTGATTTACTTATTTAATCATCTTTGCTATATCTTTATTAAACGTTTTTCACTGATTTCATTGTAACCTTATTAACTGATTTAATTTGTTATCGACGCAAAAGTGATTGTCCCCCAGATTAATTTCAAATGGTAAATGGTATTCTATTTTCAAAATCTAAATACTGTCAAAAATAAACATGTTTGTTTGGTTTCATATGTTTTATGAAAGCAAAAGCAAGTTTGATCCTCTTCCAAACTAATTTAAGCATAAATATTTATTTGAAGAAATTATTTAGAAAAGATAATGCAACAATAATGATTCATTTGATTTAATTCTAATCGTGCAAACTCAGGATTAATGGTGTTGAAAATCCATCTGTATTTCTAACCCATAACTGAATATCGGACGGATGGGTCTCATCTTAATAGACCAAACCAAAAATAGTTTATCAAAAGAAGAAAGCAGAAGCGAGACAAGACATATACAAATCAAATTAGTTTTTGCAGATGTTACAACATATATATTAAATAGTAAAAACGTTACACCAAATATATACATTAAAAATGGAAGTATTAAACACAGCAAAAACGTAGGAAAAAATGTTTAAAAAGCAGATTCATTCAAAATATTATTGATATAAAATCAGATCACCAATGTTTACAATATTTTTCTTTTTTTTAGCCCTTTCGGCGACGAGGTTTTTGGTCCACACTAAAAGAACAAGAAAAGTTGAATCAAAGCAAAGTTTATATTTTGAATTTGTAAAAGACTTACCGCCAATGGCCTCACAGGTGTGATAGCAGAATGTAAACTTGAAGTGCTGGGAAACACTGAACCAAGTGGATGACGGCTTGGAGTTGCACCCATCTTTAATCGATAAAAAATTAAAATGAATTAATTTTTCATAGTTATCTGATTTGTAAACATAAAAAATCGCCAGAAAAGTTAATAAAAAATTTATTATTACTTTATCAAATTTTTTAAAAATTTACATGATTACCTTGTATATACGATTAATGGTTGAATCAATTTTACGAGTTTTGGCCGGAGTAGCAAAACCTGCCGGAAGATCGTGTTTTCGAGGTGTTTTGAATTTTTGTCCAGTTTGATTTAATGTTTGATTATGGCAAGCTTTTCGCTAAAAAACATTACAATATTCCCAGATGAAAATTTCTTTTTAGGCTTCTATCAAAAAATGAAACCTTCTTCAAACGTTCCAATTCTTTAATTGTTTTATATTCTGTTATTATATTACGAACATATTCTACTGGTGACAAGCCATCTAAAATAATGGGATCATTCGGATGCGATTCGGCATATTTGTTATTTGCTTCTCCTATTTCACGTTCCAAATGAGGAAGACGAGAAGCTATCCATTTCTGCCGCTAAATCGTTCAATAATTTGAAAAAAATGGAAAAATTAGTGAAAATATTTTCAATAAGATTAAAGCTTATAAATTTTATTTATTTCTAAATTTCAAGTTGGAAGATAATTTCAGAATAAAAGACTGCAGATTTTAGAATCTTGATATCTTGAATGTTAAAAAAATTTTTAAAAAATGAGAAAAATTTCGAGAAATCATGGAAATTTCGATGATGCCTGACTCACTTTGAATAAATTTAACGCGAATTGTGAAAATGCCACATAGATTTTCAATTAAAAAAATTACAGACTGTGAAAAAATGAAATACCTGTAAAGCAATCTGTAGCTGCCCACCTCGATTGTGGTACCTCATTTTATCATTAGCACTGCTTTCATAATTTATTTTTTCTGTCCACAATTCTTTCCATTCCTTTATTTTCTTATATATTTCTCCACGACTGACCAAAAGTTTTTCTAACTTATCGACTTCATTTTTTATGTTTTCCACATCTCCTGCGGTATGGATGGCTAAAAAGCGATATTTAATACTTATGTAAGAATACTGTAATAATAATACTATATTTAATATTTCTTGAACAAGCTGGCAAGTTAAAAAAAGGGCAAAAAATTTTGGAAATACGGACGGAAAATAATAAAAGACCACAGAAATAGAATGGTTTAGTGGAATTTTCTCTCACTTTAGAGCGCCTGTGCTATTTACTCTCTGCAGGAGTAAATCTATCTTTCAAAAATGATGGTGCCACCACTTTTACTTCTGTAGTAAACAGGGGAGCTCTATCGGAAATGGTAACGCTCTTCAAAACAAAAACCACAAGAGTTATTGTAAAATACGAAAATAAATTTAATGTGCATAGAGACATAAAAGAATTGTTAGAAAATCATATTTGAAATTTAGAAATTACGAAAAATGTCAGAAATAAAACAACCCTGTCGTTTTATTTTATCATATTAATTTGTATTAACTGCGACTTATGTCATAATTAGCCAGATAATATATTATGGCACTAAGAGATAATGCAAATAATCTCACGGTTTCTTCTCTAGAAGTACCAAACATATGAATTACCTAATGATGCTTCCTCTTTTTCCTATTTCAAAAACAAATTTAACAGTATCATTTACGATTTCATTTTAAAAATTCAATCCTTACTTAACCAGATAATATATCATTTTTACCCAATTTGTACTGTGTACTGATTTGTACTGATTTTTTGTATTGTTATTTACAATTTTTTATCACACCAGAATATGTTCACCTGGTATTTTTTTCAAAATGAAATCCTTACTTTATAATTGTTTTTTTTAGATCATTTGAACTTAAAAACTAAGCACATGGCAAATTTTGTTTTAAATAAATAAAAAAAGCAGAGTATCACTGAAACGGAAAGATTTATGGACAACTAACTTACCAGGATTAAAATCACGAGCAAAATGTTTCCCTGATTCTATATGACACATTTCCCATAACGTATTTAATTTGATCCATGCTTCAGAATAGTCGAATTGCGCCATTTCTAACCAGTCCTGATAAACCAACATTTCCTAAAATAATTTATTGTAAAGAATAAGAAATGATTTGACAAAAAGCCAAAGTTAATATTATCAGTGTAGTGGCAATGTTACTGATAATTATGTAATACAACAATTTTTTCTCTAATAAAATAATCAAGCACAAATAAAGTGACAACTATTTCCAATTAGCACAAAAGAAAAAAATTATCAGCTAAGCTGATATAAAAAGAATTTAAAAAGTTTTTCATCAAAAAAAAATTTACCATTTGATATGCCTCTCTAAATTGCTCCATAAAACTTCCACTAATAACCAGTTCAGTATCATCCAAATTTAATTTTATCAATGTTTCAGTTGCTTCATTTTCAGCCTGCTTTTCCATTTGTTTGTACCACCGTTGTAAATCAGTTTGCCATTGGCAAATCTCTTCTATGCGTTCATTTAACTTTGCATTAGCTCGTGTAACTAAATCTTGCAATGAATGAAGCTGATCGTCGTTCCATATTTCCTTAAAAAATAAAAAAAATGTGAAGCGTTCATATTACTTTCCAGATGATTATAAATCATCAGCAAGAAGAAACATTAAAATTCAAATATGAACTGAGAACAAAGGGAATCGAGTAATTATATAAAAGATTTATAAAATTGTAATACTTTAGTTTCTACCATCCAAAAGTAAAGATATTAAGGTTTACGCACTGAAAACAGAACAAATCAATTTCCATTAGCAGTACCCATAAAAATTATATAGAAATTTTTATAAATTACAGATTTCAGCAGCCATTATAAAATACAAGAAAATAATATTATACAAACTTTTATAGATGATTTTATGTCTAATCATAGCTTCTTTTGAATTTTTAATATTGCAGACAAAACAAATTCTAGACAGAAAAGAAAAAGATAAAAAAGAAAGATAGGAAGTAAAATCTAATCATCCATCAACCATCCGAGATAACCCAATCTTTGTTTCGGTAAATATTTAGAAAAATATGGCGAGATCCCAACAAAACCATTTTCAAGCAGAACAAATTAGGCTTGCTTATGCTGATAAATGTTATCGAAGACCAGCGATAAGCAAAAAAGTTTTTAATAAATTTTTAATAAATTGTCTGATAAAGGGAAAAATTATTCAATTAAGATTACCTCATTATCACTACCAAACACATTGAAAAAATCCTCGCCTAAACGCGTAGAAAGTAATTTGGCTTCATCAATAAGTTCTTTTTGACCTTTCAAACGATCAGTCTTTAATGAAATCAACCTTGCCCTTTCTTTGTTTAGAGCTCGAAGCTGCAAAAATAATTAAAATCGACATAATCAGTAATTCCAGTAACAATTTTTTTCAAAATGTGTAGAAGCACTATTCCATGGACAGGAAAAAATTGACATACCAGTGAAACTGATCCTTTTTTGAAGTGAGATGTATCGAATGGATGTAACTTCAGTTCTTTTCGTAGATTATTTACAAATGGAATCCATTCATCTATGGACTTAAGCACGTCTCTGACCATGTCGCTTTCTGATTTCACCTGAAAGTAATCTATTAACTGGAAAAAAGCTGAAAACCTCAACATAACTCAATAAAAAAAAGCAGATATAGCAGATATCTTTTCCGGATACCCGAATTAAATTTCGATTATTCGAACTAAATTTTTTAGACATATTTTCTTTAAAGCCACTGTAAAATCACGATCACTAAAACCAAGATATTTAAAAAAAATAAAAAAGTAATTTAAAATAAAAAAATTAAAAAAGAAATTTATTTTCAACTTTAGCTTACAAAAATAATAATGTCTCAAAAAATCATTTAATGGTAACAAAAAAGATGGTCGACTAATATATTCGACTGAGATAAAGAATCATGGTTCGACTCTTGATTCTTAATAGCAGCAAATCTGTTATTATAACGAAATCTAAGTGATGTGGAGAGCTAGATAGAGAGGTATTTCTGAATTTTTTTTGTATTTCTATATTTGTGAATGCACATAAACCGGAAATGGTGTAACGAGAAGATCCCAACAATAAGTATAGATGGTTCTACATGGCTTCTTAATCACTCTGTTCAATTTTCCAATTTTTTGATTTCTCAACCTTAAGCATTCAAGTTACGAAATAAAAACTATTCAAGAGCATAAATAACCATATCATCAAGCAGTGATTTTATGTGCATATAAAATCTATCGACACGATCTCTTCGTTCGTTCTCTCCCATATGAATCGAATCCCACAGTTCATTAAGACGATCCATTGTTTCGTGCATATATCCAACCGCTTCGGCAGTTGACAAATCAACCGAAATTCTGGAAACAGTTCGCCGTAAATCCTAGCTGAATCCTAGTCTTTCTTCAGATCACAAAATTAATAAACTTTCCCAAAAGCCGAACTTCAAATAACCACAATTTAAACCACTTCACAAGAAAACAAAGTTATCCCCGCTGAACAAATATAAATATAAATGCAATACAAAAAATGCAAAGCTAAAATAAAATGATTTAAAGTAAGAAATGCGAAATTTCGATGAAAATTTCCTCTAAAAAAAATCTCTTGAAAGTGGAAATCGTTTGAAACTCGTTGGGACTCGAAACGAGAATTTGATGTGCAATAGTAAGGGAGGTGCGAGGAAAAAGGAACCTTCTTCGCGACGAGGACATTTCGTGTTTCATTCACTCGCAACGAGAGACGAACGCGAACAACTGAAAATTAGTGCCGCTGAAATTGCTTTCACAAGAAATGGTAATTTTTCGCGAACAATAATTTGCAAAATCGATTGTTTAATGTTCAAAAAATCGTTGCTGAACACTTCTGGCGGAATGGCGGAAATTTCTTTCACCGAATTCAGCAATTTCTTCAACGAAAAATTTCTTCGTTTCTTAAAAGCGTTGAAAAAATTCAGAAAGAAAGGCTCGGCGCGAATCGCAAAATTTTCTATTTTTATTAATATTTTTTTAAAAATAAATTTCATCCAATTTTTTAATTAATGGAATTATTCGACGTTTAGAAATTTTCACTAACACTGCAATAACAAAAATAACAATAAAAACAACCATGCAAAACACAATTTTTAAATATTTTCCCGCGCATTTATTTAAAATTTCAAATTTAAAACAAATTTTGCAACTAAATATCTGAGAGGTTGTGGTACCCTCGTAAATGTGGTTAGAAAAAAAGGGAGAGGGAGGCAAAGGCGAGGAAGGACGATGCGTAACAAGTGGGACGTGGGGATCCGAGGAAATTACCGCGGTTGCAGAATGCAACGGAATTCGCCGCATTAAAGGATTGCAAATCGAAGATAATGCATTGGGCAGTGACGCTAGAGAGGGGGCTAAAACTGCCCGAAGTCTCGCAAAGAAGTGCTTCAAGAGAGTGGCGGTGTCAGATAGCAATGGTGGCAGAGTTTTACGGTCTTTAGAAGAAGTCTTAAGAAGTGTTAACGTGTTATTTTCATAGTCTAACATGTCCCTCCTTTGAGATCCCTTCACAGTAAAAATGGTATCGGTTCTAATGGCTTGAAAATTACCCTTCACCCTTGATCATTCCAAAAGTTCTTGCTTTCCCATCAAATTCCTTCTATTTTAATAACCAAATCTTTTAAATTCATTGATAAATAGCTTAAATGGCTTAGATAAATAGCTTAGCTTGTATATAAAAAAACTTTTCCCTTACCCCTTGTGGGTGATCCTCTACCAAGGGCCTGGGAGATTGAAGGTTCTGCGCAGTATCTTAGTTGCTCCTGAAAATATGCTCTTCTGGATAGAGATCTCAGACACTGTTTCTGGAATTCGCTGGAGCCACTTTTCTAGTTTAGGAGTCACAATTATCACTGGAATTACCTTGGCATTTCCACATCTACTCTAATTTCTCATATTCCTTCTTCCTGACCTTTCCGTCACTTGGTATATCTACACTGCTGACTTCTGATTCTTGTCTATTACCACAACACCTACTTGATTGGCCGTTAGTGCCTGGATGGAGAAGTCTCACAGAAGTCTTCGCCTAATTATTCTTTATGATTTTCTAAGGAATCTCTCATTTAGTCCCAAATCCTATCAATGATTGGAGAAAGCGGAACTAAAATACAATATTGGGGCATCGATTATAGCAGCGCAGGAGGAGCAAGCAATAAACATAGATCCAATCGAAACAAGGATCTACCACATTAGACAGGCGCAGATTGTGCAAAAATGCCTCGGAAATAAGATGTAAGATGCAAGCAAGGACAAAAATACTGAAAAACATAACCAATTAGCTGGTATCATCTAGAGGAATATCTTCTCAGTGTATTAAGTATGTTGTTGTCTAAGATAATTGTATAGTATCATTTAATAGCACTCATTATTTCTGGTTGGTTCTGTTAAAACGATTCCTTCCGCACAGAGCCCATTGAGAAAAACGATTCAATTCAGCTCCAATCAATTTTTCTGAAGAATTTTTGAAGAAATAATAAAAAGCCCGAATGAAACGTGTTGAAGCAAGCATGTAATTCGCTAGCATTCTATATTTCTGGTCGAGTTGTTCCATTGACTATAAGATTAAATAATTTTGCCACAGAGCGTCACTTGGTTCCTAGTTGAGCCAGGAGCAGGCGAACCATGCGTTTGATGGTCTAGGCAACATAGTTCGGCCATATTAAACCTAAAATCGAAATAAACAAAATTTTTGTAAAGCGAAATGGACAAAATGGCTGCTACTCGTCTAGAACTTGCCTGAAAAAAAGAAAAAACATTTTTTTTACTTATTTAACTGCTGTCGATAATCAATATCGATAAAAAATTCAACCACTAAAACCAAATTTCATATTTTGACGAGTGCTTCTTCCAGCAGCACATTTCTGGTTTGGCTGACTTCAGTGCAAATTTTGAAATGTTTAGAATGTATGGGATGCGTTTGTCACAAAGCCACTTAAGATATGTCTCTAAAGCGTGAACCAATTTAATAATTAGACAAAAAAAATTTTACAAGACAAAAATTTGCCGAGATAATAAGTAAGTGTTGGTTGTACCGACCATTTGTAACTTTTCCCAAGAAATCATACGGTCATAGAAGTCAGGTAGGTTGCCTGCATTAACCAGCAAGAAAACTTGTACCACCAAGAAAATAAAACAGTGCTAAAGGTGGATCTTAACCAAATGTGTATTGCGAAAATAAAAGTAGAACTGTCAAACATATTGCTATTTATTTGTTATTTATTCCAGCTTTGCAGCTGCAGTCGTTTTGCTCTCAATTTGTAGCATCCTTCGATGGAAAATGAAAAGTAAGAAAAAGTAAGAATGCTGGAAAAGCGTACTGTACAAATAAATGGGCCTTAAATGGCTCTATATAGGGTTTAAATAGGGTCTACTCGCCCGATTAAATAAATAAATAAACAGTGGCCACGACAATTTTCGAAACTTATTAAGTAAAACGAACAATTATTCATCAGCTCTGCGATATATTGCCTGAGCAGCGTGGACATCAGAAGCCACTCCGAGTCACAATTATATTATATATTACAGAGCGAAGGTACTGGTTGTGATTATTCTAAATCATCCCTAAATCATCGCCCATTTGTTCTTTTTTAATCATAAACTCGTTTCTCACGAAGCCCAAAATATCATCGAGCTAAGGGATATGTGCTTCTTATCATCCTTTAAATATCTGCGCTATCCGAGCAATCTTACCGAATATTTTCACCATGAATCGAAAATAATGTAAATTAACGAAAATTGACACTGCTAAATTTCGCACGACTTTTAAATAGCATTTATTAAAAAATTAATTGATTATAATAAATTATACGTGAAATTCAACATCAATATTTTTTAATGTTTTCTCAGCGATTTAGTCGCATTGTAATTCTCAAACGTCCATTTTTGTAAGTCGTTGTTGCGATCACAGCTCGCCATAAGCAGTTTCTTTGCATTTGCGCTCAGCTGTAGACACCGTGTGGAAATGGGATGACGCAACATTCCGCTCTAAACAGCAGTTGCTTATGCACATTTTTTCCCAGTTTTCCTCCTTATATGTTTTAGCGATGAGTTGCCAATATTCGAATGGAAAGTACTAATCAGATGAATGCATGTTTATTAGTTTGTTTTTTTCTTCTAAGAGTGCTCACCATTTCTGATTAAACTGGCTTGATGGAAAAATTTTGCCAGGGAGTCGGTTGGCCGTACAAGTGAGATGATATCACGCGGATTTTTCAAAAAAAAGTGGTGACGAGGGTGGAGGTTCCGCAACAATGCTCAGAAATATGGACAATAACCCACTGAGCCATTCTATCTCTTCTATTTGATTGTTAGGGCTGTTTCGTAAAGGAGTCCACCATCTGAATTAAGTCTCCATTTCTTAATTGTTTCTATTTCTTTCGACGAACTAAATAGCAATTCGAGCAACTGGCATTGATTTACCTCATGATAGTATTCCCACAACTGATTCCCTTTCAAACCGTGACATTCATAAATGACAGGAGCACCGCTACCTGTATAGTCGAAACAATATTCATCACGTCTAATCTCTCCCGCTTTGCTCAAATACCACAGCTGAAAAAGTTACCAAAGTAAACATGAACATGAATGTTATTATGGTTAAAATCACTGCGCAGTTTTTTTTTGCAAGTTTTATGCAAGTTTCAATCCTTTTACATTAAGGCCCTCGATCTTTTTAAGATTTAAAAAAAGGCAAGGCCACAAAAAACTACCAATTTTTCTGATTTATTGAAATAAATTACTAAACTAACCTGATTGCCTTTTTGGCCATGACATGGGTATGGACTAATGCTTTTGTTCACAGTATTACGATTAACTTCGTGATCAATACAAGAACTGTTCCTTCCACGGTTCCTTATCTAATAAATATTGGAATAATATTTACAAATAATAATATTAAAAAAATTTAAGCAACCCAAAAATGCCAGCATTACAAGTGAATCGTGGAGGATATCCTAGAGCTTTGAAGGTCTAGAGCTTAGAGCTTAAGCCATGTTTCAACATGCTTGAGTGGCCACAGTTATAAGAAAACATTTTAAAAACCTTTTATAAAAAACTTCAAGTCCTTGCCTGTTTAAATGAGGCCAATGAAAAGACGAATTCTCTATATTTGCTTATCCAGCTCTACATAACTGGATAAGTGGAGGAACTTGTCACAAAAGCCAGAAGTCTATTGGTATGGTGATTAAAAAAATTTTACCAGCAGTATAACATTTAACTGCTTCTATTTCTTCTAAATTTTGTAATCTCTGGTAAAGTTCGGACTGCTGAAGACTGTATTCATATAACTAAGTGGCTTTATAGTGAAAGGGGTATTGGTATGACATTCATGACCTCATGACTCCGACACATGATACCCCATAATCTGCTCATGCATTTGATTTTTGGTATGTAAACCGAACCTGATAAAACGATTGTCAAGTTTGGTAATAGGCTCTCTCTTTGATCCTTTGTTAATAGAACCAGGATAATTGCTCGAATCTTGAAAAAAATCTTGAATTTAAAAGGAATAACCCTACGTGAAGTATGCATATACGCGAGGTCATGGCCGTGGCAATATGGAAAATTAGGCAATAACCGCCACACATCATATAGACATATAGACAACATCTTATCAGAAATTCGCCTTCTTCACATCAGTTCTCGCGCAATTATTATATTTCTGATCAGAACTGAGGTACTAGCTGCATCATTATGCTGTTTTAGATAACTCAAGACGGGATGGTGATAGTAATTTTTACGTCTGAAAAAGTTCGATTCGCTCTAATTGTTTGGAAACCAGTTAACGATTCTATGGCATATACTCTGTTAAAACTTAAGTTCTGTAATACTTGATCGTCATTCTATTTTATGCGCAGATGACGGTGACAAAAACAGGTACGGAGCTTCAACTATTAACATGTTCTCGAAATATATAGCCATATTCGGAAGAAACTGGAGTGGACGCATAGGTCATAACGCTGCTATGGTGGACTGCGCAAATTCTCAAATTCTCAAATATTGCACCAGAGCCCAACGCGTCTTTGCTTTACTGCAGACTTTTTGATATCAACACATGCTTCCGGTTCGGAGAAAATACCTAGTCACATAGGATTACTCAGACAATCAATACTCCAATCATCTGATTATATTTTGGCCAATGGTCGTTAAGACAGTTTTCTATTAGGCGATTCTTCTTATCGTGAAGCTGAAATTTTCTTGGATCATCTTATGGTGCGGTCCAAAAATGAGCCGTGTTAAATACCGTTCAGTGTCTCAAGCTAAATAATTTAATGGTAGTAAACACATTGCAAAACGAGTTATCGAAAGACTTCAGCGATAAATTACATCGATGATATAATATAAATAATATTGGTCGAAAGCATGTAGCGTCATGCCAAATCCACGGATATGCCATCTGGAAATTCGCCAACCGGAAATAGCTGTCGAACTATTTGAAAAGGTTGCCTTTGAAGATCTTGACTAATGGAAGATTCGAAAGATTCAAAAACAGGTGCACGGTGAGATATATAAAAAAATTCATCATTGGAATTACATGACCCTAAATATGGAAATGGCTGCTTAAGTAAGTAAAATAATGATAATGTACTTATTAAGAGGTATCAAACGTGATGGGAATTCCTTTAGACTGAGTTTTATAGTTAGAACACTCGTCGAGTTATATGTCTGCAGTATATCATATGTCATGTCTGATAGCCGCCGACGGAGCAAGAAATGATCTTTATCATTCAAAAGCCTAAGATCGATAAAATTTCTGGAGAAGATGGTCTTTGGAATAAAGTTCTCAAATAGTGTTAAACGCTTAAACGCCTTTTATAAATCACCTTCAATGGAACGGATGTTGCATGAGAAAAAAAATCAATACCAGAATATTCAAGCAAAACAATCCTGCTTCCAACTCTATTTTTTTTCAAGAATCCTCACCATTACTGGTTAAACTCGCTTCGTTGGCTTGTCGCATTAGATAAATATGCTTGGGAGTTCCCTGGCAAGTATATATAGAAGTAAAGTACAGATGAGTCGCCAGCACCAACCAGATGGATTTTTGGACAGGTTTATTCCTACAGAGAATAGAATCTCAGCATCGGCACTCAGAATTGAGCAACACCTCACTGAGTCAATCTATCCCCAAGGGGTCCAATCAAAACAATCCTGTTTCCAACTCTATAGAGGACAATAAAAAGTGGTGTAGATCCTAGAAATTTTTCGGAAAATTTTCGATTACGGAAATTTATACAAGCAGAATGCGCCATAATAAAACTGGATTCAGATCAGGGTGTGAGTGTGCTAAGCAAATATTAACACTAAGGAAAGTTGTTGGAATATCGCTTGAATATCAGTAACCCACCGACACTTTTCATCGGTTTCTTCGATTCATTTGATAAATAATTAATAGAGCAACGTTCTGAACGACGGTTATACGACGGTTTTCAGCATGATAATGCTATTTCATCATCAGTACTGTGGACGTGTGTTGTAAGTCATTCAACCTTTTAAAATATGAACTATACGCATCATTGCGATCTCCTTCCTAAATTTTTAACTATGCGATAGACTTGATTATGAACATCGCCTGCCTTCTGGTGCTCAAAAGGTATAAATCAGTTCAGAACCTATCACCTTGAACACTTTGATACACAGATAACATAATTTTTTTTGCCAACATTCATGGAGAAATGTTAGACAATATCGACTGGTAAAAATCGGGCTGAGGATTAATGGAAATGAGACGAAAATTTTACATATATTGATAAAATGCATACTGTTATAAGTACCTTATAGGTTGAGGAAGTTGCAAAATCTAAAAATGTCCTCAACCCACTCTTATACCAAATATCTTAACGAAAATGAAATTGCAGCGGATAATCAGGACCAGAAATGCGTTATTTCATCTGACGAAACCTCTTCGGAGTCTCCACTAAGACGAAAATGAAAATTCCTATTTGGCAGTTCAATCAATCCTGTTATATAGTTGTGAAATGGCCAATGGAAAGTGGAAAATGTATCAAAAAAGCATCCATCTTTGTCCACTCATGTCTGAGGCATTTTGTGTGATCTTCAAACAAAAAAAATTTTACGACCGTATGCAACTTCGCTCAAACACCATCTGTACTGATCTATAATGCAGTGATAATATCGTTATAAAGCGCTAGTTTGGTCCTTGTTTTCCCATGTTCTTCGCCACCCATCACAAGAATTGACATATGTCGCTATCTGCTATGCAATTTGAGGGGATCAGGACCTAGGCTGATATAATCAGGAGACTTTTTTAATGTATAAGTGGTCCAGTGATATATAGGCTAAGCAATAGCTTTCCCTTAGGTGGCGAAGAACATTGGATCGACCGGCTTGTAGCTTTAAATGACGTTAGCTTGACCAGTAATGATGTGAAAAACAGAAGTTACCATCAACTACCCTGACTTCTTCTTCTAATAACTCTAACCATTATTAGGCTGACTCCACTGGCTACAAAGGTAAGAACTTTCAAAGCTGCGCGATCTGATGTCATCGTAGACTATAATAGAAGCCATTTCTCTTTTCCATCATCTAAATCCATATATTGTTGGTCCATCTATACATTCAAAATCTTTCCTGATCGCACCAGTCCAGATCTTGATTAGTCCACCTCGCTTTTGACGCCACCCAACACAAGGTTTAACAAGCAGTAAAATATGTGTCAACTTATTTCTTATGGAGATGAAGAACGTGCCCTAAACCAGTAAAAATGGCGCTCTGTGATCGAACTGTTAATGTAAATGTTAGTTGAACGAAAGTGCATGCGATCATGTGGGATTTTAACCACTCAACGAACCCCGTAAAATATGCTCTTAGACATGAATAGTCAAAGGCAAATAACTTCTTAATATTCTCCACTCTCACTGACCATGTCTCGCAGCCATATAGCAAGATCGAATGACTCGCACCGCGACTATAAGACGCGGACTTAAGTTTTTATGCTGATTTCGCGGCGGTTCCATAAAGATTTCGTCGACCGGCAAAATACATTTCTAGTTGTCGTTATCCAGATTGTAATTTGCCTGGCTATTTGGGATTAAAGTGGATCCAAGATTTTTAACATTTCCTCAACCGGCAATAGTTTAGAAAAAGAAGCATTTCATCAGCTTCTTGTATTAAGACGAAAAGACTTTTGTTTCGTTTTACTTACAATGAGTTCGATTCTCGCTGCAGTTGCTGACAAGTTATTTTCCATTATTTGCATTTCGTCATAACGATCAACAAAAAGGACTATATTATCAGCACATTTAAGATCTATGATACGATACCTTTGACTGATTTGTACAAGCGCTTTGAATGCCGACAAGCGCTATCCATTATCCAGTCTATCGAATAATTGAATATTTTAAGGAAAATGACGCAACTTTGATGAATTCCAGTTCTTGTTTCAAAGGAGTTTATCAGTTCCCCATTCACATAGATCTCAGCCGATACACGCTGGGAAAACGGCTTTATGGATCGAATTGATATGGATTGATTTTCTCTGGATCTTTTCTGGACCGCCGCGTTCCATCACTCTTCAAAGTGCCATTCTAACAATTGAATCAATTGAAAGCAGCAACAAAGTCAATTTAACGATGTGTTGGAAGCGATGTTCCAACATTCTTGACATCCTGGTCTGAATCTAGCTTGATTAGGCAACCTCTTGTCTCATGCTGCTATAAATCTATTGCAGGATGAAGCAAAAATTTTTTATTGAGGCATCTAGTAGGCTGATTCCTCGATAATTGTCACAATATTTCTACCATCTTTCTTGTGAAATAATAAGTATTCACCTCTCCTCTGGCAACCGCATCAGTTGGAAGGAATAGATCAGGATAAATATTTTCCAAATACCATTTAAATGAATGACAATTGAGACGGTCTCGTAGTTTTTTACGCCCACTTACATCGCCAAATTTTCCATAAAACCAAGAAAAGGTTTTCAAAGGTTTTTTTTCAAATGATTTCTGATATGAAAATTACGATAAATAAATAGCAGAAAAGCGACTCAATTAGAATTCGAAATTTTTTGTTTCTTAGGATAAAATGGTATTTTATACAATGAATAAAAATAATTCATTTATAATGATGGCAATGAGTTACTAATTTATAGTTGATTCTTTCGTAATAGATTTCTTTATATTCATCGAGCCAAACCTAAAAATTTCGAGAAAATAGTGAATTATAAACGAATTCTTTAATAGATTTTTAGAAATGACGGTAAAGTTAATCAACCTCTGCTAAACGAACATTGTTCCTCTGCAATACATTGACTCCATTTCGCCACTTATACGGAGATTTTTTCCGAAAAACATGACCTACGTGACTGCATGGTACAATTTCTAATCGGCCCCCACACATCCATATCTAAAATAAATATCCAGCTTTACGCATTATATCTGATTTACAGATAAGGTGATTTGTGATTGCTAAATGTGATTTCGACATACAACCTTTAAATCTTACTGACTAACGACTACGATAGCAAAATCTGTATATGATTCTCGTCTCCTTTTTTCCTTTCTGTTGGAAGTTTAGGGATTGGGCGAAAAGTTTATGGTCTGAGTGTCGCGTAAAAAATTATGTTTAATTGCATAAACTTCAGAATCAATCATAAGGCTAAAGACGAATAATATTAATAATAATATTAGCATATGACCGAAATACTTTTTAATTTTTGAGATTTTCCTGACCTTAAATGAGATTTCGAGATTTTCTCCACCCCAAATATCGAATTCAGGATCATATCCACCAAGTCTTTCGAAATATTCACGATTTATCGAAAATAATCCGCCAGCCATCGTAGGGGATCTTTGAGAACACCAAATTTTTTATGTAAATTTTATTTTGAAATAAATTGTCAGACTAAAAAATACTTCATAAAATATGAGGTTCTATTAATTATAGTTTCAACTTACGGTACTGGATCGATACGCGTTTTCATTGCTTTGTAATCACGATCTGGAAGACGATGCCACTTATAAATTAAACCCCATGAAAATCCTCCAACGTTCGGTCGGCTATAATTAGAATATCGATATTCAAATGTTTGCAGATCAATTGTATCGATTGTAGGCACTGCAACATTGGTCGGATTCTCAGCTATTCGTTCCAGCAATGGTTCTAACCACCCTGAATAGCAATTTCTAGTCTATCTAATGACAACACTTGGTAAACGAAAACAAAGCTTTATAAAATTATAAAATTTGCAGGATAAGTGATTTTAAAGCCTTTTGTGCCTCACCCTCTGCGCATTCGCAGTGAGAATCCAAGAAAGTAAGGACAGTTCCAACAGCTTTTGAAGCACCTCTAAGTCTTGCTTTAATCAATCCCAGCCTACTTTCCAGCCGAATAATTCGAACTTTCCTGAAGTGATTCATATAATCGTCAAGTTGTCTCTGAAAATAAAATAATTAAAATATTTCTTGCTATGGTGAAAATAAGCATTTTCTTGCATCAATGTGGTAAATTTAGAGAAAAAATAAATCACTGGGTCAAAAAAAGAAAAGGAATAAACAAGAACCGATTTGTTGCTATTATGTATTTCTGCTCTAAAGAACGAAAGAAATATGCTAGAACCAACCTTAAGATGATCCAGTCCCGAAAAATCATCAACTAATATGATTTCTGTTAATAAATGTTCGGGAGTTCTTTCTAGAACACTATGAACAGTTCGAAGTAGAACTGACCAAGCCTCGTTGTGGAAACAAATTATAACTGTAGTATTCGGCAAATTAGAACGATATTTCTTTTTATCGCACCTTCAATTATGGAATATATAGTGTAATATAATATGGAATATATACTAGCGATTTTTAATAATAGCTTGGTTAAACAAATTTAACTCCAGGAAGTCAATAATGATTTGATAACGCGCACAGTTCTTTCTCAACCGGATGGATGGTAGCTTTTATTTTAGGTGAAATTAGGACTCCTCTACTATACCAAGCAAGAAGCACTGATCCCTACGGTTTTCTTCTTCTAATGGCCTATTAGTCTGCTGGTTTGAAACGAGTCATTTGGGTAATAGAAGGACAAGTTGTTCCTCGTACCATTTAAATTTTAATGAGACTGATCCCAACCAAAAGGCAATAGTCGAATACAGCCAACTTAGCTCACAATCATTTTTCCCAGCCTTACGTTTACAGACCACTGATGCCCACCTTTTACATACATAGAATTAGATACAATTTCATTTTAAGTTGGTGTGCCGCAATGAAATTTTTGACACTTCTTTTATCCATAATTATTAAAATATATTCTAATTGATGTTACTTATTATTCTAAAAAACATCAAAATTGAAAACCAACAACGTGGAATTTTTATTATTGTTTAAAAAATTGCAATTAAAAAATTGAAATATGAACAGAAAGAATCTATTTTTAGGTGCAAAAATTTGTTCTGTGTTCATCAACCATCAACCACTTAATCAAACATTGCTATTTCGCTACAAATCAAGTCAAAATCAATATTCCCTAGGTTTAAAAAGAGCGGTTGTTATTTTTTGATAAGTGATATAGTAATCTCCGACCAATAATGCACTGCTAGTTAGGCTGGTTTGTCGGGATAATCAAATGAATATGCCAGGGACTCCTCTGGTGATAGAACTATAGGTGAGTCGTCAGCATCACTTGCATTTTTGAAGGGCACATGTTGGAAGTAGAATTTCCTGTTGGAAGTAGAATTTCAGCTACACTTCGAATTGAGCAATAGCCCACTAAGTCATCCTATTCTCCTTCTCTTTCCCCTTTAGACGATATTGCCATGCACGTGGTGTAGTAAATTCAAACCCAAGCCTCGATCTACCCTTATCTGCCCTAAGCAATTATTTTGCCACGACACACCACATATATATCTAGTTCTACGCTGTAAAATTACCAATAAAAGCATTAGAAAAAATTTAAGCGGTTTGTGGCTAAATTCACTCAAAATTTCACAAGTGTTACGAAAAAAATAAATTGAACTGTAATATAAAACCGAATGATAAAAGTAATAATAAATATTAAAATAATAAATATTAAAATAGTTCCGAAAACAATAAATTAACTAGAAGTGAATTATCACAAATATCGTTCAAATATCAATTCTTAAAATGTGAGAATATTTTTCAGAGAACTCAGGTATCTACAGTACTCATTTGATATGAATATTCAAGCCCGGCGCTTTTGTTGAATAGATTTAAGCGTTTGCCAAACACAATAGCTATTTATTTTTGTATTTATTTTAAGAATAATGATGAAGAAATCACTGCCAAACATCTATACTTCTGTGCTCGTTAAACGCCATCTGTGAACAAATTCGTTGAATTTCAAAAAATTTATTTGCAAACATAAGTGCTTTCAAATAAATTTATAAATAAACGTGGAGAGATAGCCGTAAATTTTGAAAAAGATCCTTTTTAGCGGAGGTTTTTGTAGAATTTAACAGATCCTCTTCTTCGAATTTTGTCTTCAGTCCTTCATTGCAACGCAAATCAGTCAATTCAATGCGGATTCAATGCGGCAGATTGTTTATATAAAATATCAAAAAAGTTTGCAAGAGTTTTAAAAAATATTTTCAGCTTCAAAATATGAAAATTTTAAATAATGATTGTAATTTTTCGACATAACTAGCAAAATAGCATAGGTCGATTTTTTTCGACTAACAAACTTATGCTTTCAAGTAAAACTAAAATATATATCTGCAACGACTTGTCAGCTGAATTTCACACTAATATATGATTAAGTTGTGCATCTCGAGAAGTCTTCAACTGATGACAGTGAAACGCATATGACCGCAAAAATTCCTTGCAACTACAGTGTCTGTGATATTATCGAATGCCATTAATTTTCCAATATTTCTTTATTATAGCTTGAATTCCTATGATAGCCATGCGTTTAGAAAGAAATGATATGGAGAAAAGATATCATTCCATTTTTTTGACCACTCATTGCTTGGTCACTATGCGATCGGTTTTCAGAGCTCCAATTATATTTAAAATTTGATTTGCCATGCACTTTGTCATTCTAAATACGATTCGCAAAGCTCATCAATTCAAGAATTTCAAAATCTGATGTGACACTATAAAGAAATATAGCAATTTGGGCAGTGAATATTAATTTATGTGATTCATCAACGGCAAGAAATAATGTATAAATCCACTAGAATTTCTAAAAATTTTTCATTTCAAACACGAACAAATAGCATTTATGTTGCAAAACTGAAATTGATATGCGGTCTCGCAGTTCAAATTTTGTCACACAGCTTTTGCAGCGAAGTAGGGCGTTCATGAAACATTCTTTCGTCATCTAAAAGGCCTTGATGATGCTACAGTTAACCGAGATGTAGTGAGACTCACTTCAACGCCATTTCTGAATATATCAGAAAATGCAATGAATTTTGTGGAACTGCTGATGAATAAAGTAGGAGAATTCACCAGAACATTTTTTGTTGAAATTCGATTGTTTGCTTTCAAAATGCTACCTCATATTGTGCATTCTTTTAGCACACCCACACACCTTTTGGTTACAAATTTTTATTGCGCCGAATAATTTTCTACACACTCAGCTCAAAAAATTCTATACTATACTCCTTCTGTTAATGTTTAGACGAAGTCTAAATATTTTTTTCATCGAACAAATTAATGGGCAGTGCAAAGTACCAAAATAAATAATTTAAGACAATGAAGTAAAATTAATTTAAATAAATAAAATCTAAAATTTGGAAAGATTGAAACAATTTAAAAAAATAAAGATTTGCACAAAAGCAGATTCTCTTTTCAAAAGGCTCAAAATTAGCGGACCGCCGACATTTCTGTACATCACTCTAATCAACCTTAGTGTATCAAAAGTGGAATAAAGAACTTATAATTCGCACATTTCATCTCTAAGATTTGGCAAGGATCGATGAATTGAGATCAAATTCGACGCATATTCGTTAAAGGAATTCCTTTCGAAGAATTCATCGTATTTTTTGCGCTCATTAGGTGATAATCTCTAAAATTAATGCTTTAAACTCAAAAAATACTTTTGAAACTCGCTCACCACTCATAAAATTGGAATAAAAAACGGTAACTATAACCTCCTTCGAGATGATAACTGGACGACCTGATTCGCCTGCTTGATTCGGATCACCTTTTCTGTATATTGGGCTATATTCACTGTAAATTATTTGCGCTTGCGGGATATTATTTTGCTAAAACATCAACATTTTATGAACCATGATTTTTTCAACTTTGTTTAGCTTGGTTTTAACACAAGCTTAACAACTATTACTATTGCTCGACTATTTATGGTAATAACTATTAATTCTGATCTACTGATATTTTCAAAATATTACGCTGTTGAGCCCCTCGTCTACTAATATATAGCTGAATTAATATACAATCAGATATTACTTTATATTAGACTTAAATACTATTATGCACGATAATCATATTTGATTACGAAAATTTATCACTAAATAATTTAATCTAATTCCATGCGATCTTCTTTTCCTAATTTATTGAAATCCTTTTTTATTTTCACCATTTCTGGCTGTTAAACTCGCTCAGTTCTGTCATACCAGGCAAACTGTGATAGGAAATTGTAAAATACATATAAGTCGCCAGCTGTAAATAACCTGGATTTTGGTAAGATTTGCTTCCTTCATGCATACTCGAAACTAATAGAATATTTATAAAACTTTACGTTCTCTATTTCATTATCAATTTTGTTATTTACATTTGTGGATTCGCCATTTCGTTGCATTATTTCTCGATTTCGCTCTGGCTGCAGCGACCTTGGTTCTTTTCCTTTATCCGCTTCATATAAATTAACTGATAAATCAGGCTAAAATACCGTTGTTTTAAGGAATTTTAAATTAAAAAAGTTAATTAGAGAAATTGATAAGCTAATGGATTATAAAATACCTGGTTTTTCCAATAAGTTACTAACGTAGAAATAACCCAGTATGCGCCTATTACTGTTAACACGTTAAGGAAAAATGCACGACGTTTTAATGGTCGCAATCTCATTTATAGATTGTAATAATTTATACATGGGCTGTCATGGCGCCTATTCTGAATATCAAAGCTTTAACTCTGGAAAAGTCTCAGTGTTTTGTCTGGCGAGGTTGTGTTCCCGACTCTGCAAGAAAATAGGGATTAATGCACTTACCAATAATTATTTTGAAATTAAAATTAAATTATTTTACGAGTAGGAAAATTTGAACAAAGAAAGAAATCTTGTTTCAGCAAAATTATGGAGAGATATGTAGTTCTGACTGAGGCTAAACATGCTTAGTTCGATTCTTGCTCTTAAAAAGTAATTAATTATTTAATGAAAACCAGCTAAGCAGAGCGTAAACCCCATGTGATTATATTAATAACAACAGTTAGAAAAACAAATAATAAGAATTAATGACAAAACAAAAAAAAATAATAAAATAAAATATGCTTAACAATTTAGATGCAATAAAGAGAAAATTACAAAATAATATATAGTACAATTCGAAACAACTATAATCGGATGGTAAAAATCGAGATTTCACACTTCCTGCATGATGTGAACTCATTAAATAATATCATAAATGATATTATCTATTTTGAAAGATAGCTAAGGATGGCGCACAAACTATATCGTTCGGTAGTTTATTCCAGTTATTAACACGAATAAAAGAAATCATGAGTCCTTTGTTTAGTTTTACATATAAGTTTTAATTTTAGCCCATTAGTTCTTGTTGGATTTAAATTTAACCTAAAATTATAATATTTTGAATAATCTGGTTTAACATAACCATATAAAGTATAAATTAAATCTTGTTTAATGCGACGAACTTATGTACAATCTAGTTTAACATAACCATACAGAATCTTATAAGTATAAATTAAATCTTGTTTAACGACGAACTGACGGAGAATCCAGGTATATTGTAGAAGATTTCTTTTATAATTAAAATTGCAATTAGGATTAAGGCGTCATATAAAATATTTTTGATGTCAATTATTTTACTTGATGTACGATATCTCGGGGAGAAACATTTAGTCAAGAAGTGGCCGTACGAACGTTTTGTACATTTTGTAAGAAAATCTTCAGTTTTGTTTTTAAACGAACGAAAAATAAAATTTAGTATCCTTGAGGATTTCTTTACTGTGGTTCTGCAGTGAAGATCGAAATTGAGATTTTCATCCATGATTATTCCAAGATCAAAGATGTGTGAGACTCTATTGATTAAATTACCATTTATAAAAAGATTAGGAAGATCGAATCCTTTAGAGTTGATGTGAAGAACGCTAGATTTTTGAAAGGAAAGGGTAATTTGCCTGTCATATAGCCAGTCAGCTATTCTGTTGAGGTCCTCCTGCAGTGGAGATAGGCTATCCGTTCTACCATGAGAATAATAAATTTTACAATCATCAGCATAAAGATAAATAGTAGAATTTATTACCACTGTGGTGATATCATTTATATATATAATAGAAATAGCAATTATTTGTGGAATGTTATCGGGACCAGCTGAAATGGACGGCTTAAGTCTATTTAAGGCATCATAAACATCCAGTAGTGTTATTTCAACCTCACCGAGAGAAGTGCAACAAATTCGATTTACGTTAAAACAAGAAGTATGAGTATTATCCTCATCAACAAATATACTGGAAAAATATTGATTAAATATACTTGCAGTATCAATATCAGATGTGATCACATTATCATCATTATGTTGTAAAATTAATTGTTTACGTGGATTTCAAAATTTTTTTTTGATATAGGTTCAGAAAGAATTCTTATTAATATTTAAAATTTGCTCCTTTTTATTTGAAAAGTAATTATGAACGGCACCACGGAATCTTCTTAAACATTCTTTATATGCAGAGAAGTCACTTGGCAATTAAGTTAAATTAAGTTAAATTAAATTTTGACATCTTTTTAAAGAGATTTTAAAAAAATGGGAATCGGCTTAACGCTTTTTTTTCTTAGAGGATTGCTCTATAAGGTATAAAATGATGCTATTAAGAAAATTAGCTTTTTCATCAATGGAGGGATTTAAATAGAATAAGAAATCCCAGTTTATTTCTGGGAGGATAGAATTAAAGATTTCATAATCGCAGTGACGGTAAAATATTTTGAGGGCGGTACACAATGGTTTAGTTTTAATAAACATGAATGATATTTGATCATTATTACAAAAAGGTTCCAAGACTCTAATGCTATAAAGAAAAGAAATAGAAATAGCCAACACAACATCTAAAATAATATTATACCTAATGGCAATCTTAACATGTTGCTCTAGATCTATATAGGTACAAAGATTTAGAAAGTCCTCTTCAAATTTGCTATTTTTCAAGGAATTATTTTCCCGATCTATAATTGGCATATTAAGATTGCCAACAATTACATAATCGGCACCAAATATTTTTAATCTAAATAACAGGTTGTAAAGATCCCTAGTGAATATACTGCAATAGGTTGGCGGTATAGATTTAAAAGGAAAATATTTCTATTATATAAATTATATCTATTATATAAGATAAATTTTAGTTATTAGAGATTCAAAAGAGGAATAAACAAAATCATCAAAAATTACAAATTTATAATAATCAGAAAAAAGCGAAAGCGTGATAAGCCCACCTCCACGAGCATTTAAACTATTTATTGTTCTATCCTTGCGTAACACTAGAAAGCCATCGAAGTTTAATTCCCGATTATCAGTAGAATCATCCAACCACATTTCGTTTAATACAAAAATACTATTTGGGTTATCAATTAGTAAGAGTTGAAAGTAATAATGTTTAGATTTTAAACTTATCACATTACATATATATAAAGATAAATTACTTCTTTCTAAAAATGTTGGCCATTGCTGGTTAAGATTGCTGCGGATTTAACAAATTTTTTTAGTGTAAGACACATAAGGTTGCCAGATTCATTCGAATTTTAAAAGACTTTTGGAAATTTTTAATAGATTTATTTCTGCCTGGCTCAGCATCGCCGTTTCGATCCACAACCCAATCTCTCCGTCCCCTTCTCCATTTTGCTTTCTTGTTCGACACCTCACGAAATATTTTGCGTCGGCCACATTCAAATCCGAGCCATTCTCGATTCTTGTAGCATTCTTATCATTAAGCTATTGACGCATCAGATGAATCCAGAAAAGGAAAAGAATCTCATGTATTTAAGTGGATTTGCATCTACTGGGTAAATTGATTAAAAATTTAGAATTATTAAATAAAAGGGATATTTATGGGAAATATTGAATATTGAAAATGCTCAAAAACATTTATTGCAGATTAAAGTATACTTTCATATCGCTTGAGACTACCAAGGAAAGAAGCAAGTAAAAAAGTTCAAAATTATTAAATTACAAAATTAATCTTAAAGAATTTCCAAAATTTTTTGAAATTTTCCTATAATTCATCAGAGAAAGATCACTCTTATTGTTTTCGTTTGAAATTTTTTTTGGCCTTTTACTTACGAATCTTATAACGACTTTAGAAAAAAAAGAGGATGAAAAAAAGAAATATATTTGATAAAGAATTTGAAAAGCAAAATAGTTAATAAGCAAGAAACGAAACTATAGTGGCAACAAACGAATCCGAAATTTGGAAAGAAGGTATGTTGGACAATTCAACAAAGCAAATTCGAATGCATAACAATGAATGAAAATTTAAAAATTGAAAAATTGCTAAAAAAACTACGGGAAAAGGCTTAGTGCAAGCCAAGAAAAGTGATAGGATCTGCTATAATACCTAGTAATGCATTAATTCACTAGACATCCCAGGTAATATTTCTGAAAACAACAACTATTTATAAAGGAACAAATTAGAAAAAGCATTCCACTTAAAGAAGAAGAATGATTGAAATGAAAATTCTTGACATAGATGGAAAATTTCCACTTCAGCAAATAAAATAATGATTGAATGAAATGAAAAAATGAATAAAGACACAATGGTCATCCCATGGACTGAAAATCTTAATTATTAGCGATAAAAAATAGTATTAAAATATCAAAAAGCAAATGCAATTTAAGTTTGAAAATCTGGTCAGAAACAAAAAGTAATCCGTAGAATCTTCCTTTAAAATTTCGATAAAACCATTTGCTGGATTTAATTAGCAAAAATTAAGCCATCCAGAAATTTTCATTTTCAGTTTCAGTTTGCAACAGACGGACCGACTGATCACATTTTTCAAATATGTCCTGAGAAGAATAATTTTTCATCGAATTGCGAAAAAAATAGAAAAAAAAAGTAAAAGATGAAATTAACTAATGAGATTAATTTATATTTAATTGTAATTTTTCGGGAAATCAATTTTTTTATTTTTTTATTTTATTTTTTTTATTTTTAAATTTATTTTTATTTTACTTTTATAATTAATTTTTTGTTTTGTTTTTTTCGGAAAAATAGAATAATAATCATCATAATAATCATTATAATAATAATCAATTCATAGTTCGAAAAAAAGTGGCTAATCGTTTAAAAATTCAATAAAATTGATCAATTCACATTTAAAATTAATAAATTGGTGAAAAATGGAAAATAACTTCTGGGCTCCCTGAAATGCGTGGGAATAAAATAAGTAGTAGAGAAGAGGAATTTACAATAAATCGCGCAACACTGTATTAAGTATAATGTATCCAGCATCATCTGGACTATACTTTTATTGGAAAAGTTTGTATCGCTCAGGAACGACTCAAAATTGCAAATTGAATGGTGTCTTTCTTAGAAAAACAAGAATCTATTGTTAAAAATAATAAAAATGATCTCAATCCTCGTACAGAGCAAAAAAAAGAAATCAAATGATAACAAGATGACAAATCAAAATCTCAAAAGAGAGAAAAATCACAAAAATTTTAGAAATGTCTTGTGTCTTGACACTGATTTTGTAAGTTTTTTCTCCCCATGAAAAGATGTAATAATTTGAAATTTCTGAAAGTTTTATAGTTTTTTAGCCTTTGATTATAAGAAATTTTGGTTTTAGATTTGGATTTTCGGAATTTTGATTGACTTCCACTAATAGCGAAGCATTTTAGAATCAA